ATGAGATTTATCTCAGATCAAGAATTTCCAGAATCTCTAGAAGCTTCATCCATTGTTCCCTTGATTGTTCAAGAGGGGATAGATATATCTCTAAGTGAACAAACAAGAGAACCATGATTGGAAATTCAACATGATAATATATAAGTGAAACTAGTAGAAATATTAGTATCACATGTAAAAGAACAATATCAAGGATAAGCGGATCCTCAAGAAATTGAAGATCCACCATTTGACCCACTCGTTGTTTTACCTATAAATACACAAAGTCTAGTGCAGTACATTCGTAGTGGGAGAGAACCTTGTTAACTCTCAAGTTGTCTCTTGTTGAGTGATATTGATCCTACTAGTTACGATAATGCACTAGAAGATGTTGTTGATCAAGTGTTGCTCAGGCTATGAACAATGAGATGAAATACTTGTATTTCAACTCCGTTCGGTCCTAGTAAAGACACCAAGAGGGGTAAAACCCACAAGGTGCATGTGGACATAAAAGGCAAAGAGAGGATGACAGAAAGGTGAAAACCTTCAAAGCTAGCTTGGAGGCATTTTTTGCCAGACGTCATGCTTGAGTCTATCCAGATTCTCTTAGTTGCTATAAGTCTCAATTATGAGATTTCATTTTGGGAGTTGGATGTCAGGATATCTACATACAACAACCAAAAGGGTTTGTAGCAAATGAGTAGGAACACACGGTATGCAAGTTGTGAAAGTCTATTTCATAGACTTAAGCAAGCATCCAGGTCTTGAAACATCAGTTTTGATTAGGTTATCAAAATTTTGATTTTGAGATAACCTTGATGAATGATGTGTATTTGTATGTAAAGGATACAACGGAAGACAGTAGCTTTTCTAGTACTTTATGTAGATGATATGCTCCTTATTAGAAACAATGTGGAGGTAATATCAAGCATAAAGAGTTGGCTAAGTTAGTGTTTTGGTATGGAAGTACCGGGGAAGCCAATTATATTCTTGGTATAAAACTCTTATGAAGCCGGAAGAATAAGTTGTTGGCATCACCTCTGGCTACTTACATTGACAAAACCCAAAATTCAACATGAGAATTCTAAGAGAAGAATTATAATTCTCAGATGTGGAATTCATCTTCCTAAGGAGTGACCAAAGACTTCTAAGAAGGAAGAATGCATGAGCAAGATATCTTATGCTTTGGCAAAGGTAGACTCACACATATCATGTTGGGCGTTAAACCAGACATCTGTCACGCAGTGGGAGTAGTGAGATAGTACCATTTTGAACCTAGAGGAATACTAGATTATTGTTAAGCATGTACTCAAGTATCTTTGGAGAATGAGAGATTATATGCTGGTATATTCTAGTGGGAGTCTTGAAAAGCTGAGTTTTCAAAAATTCAGTTATTTCAAGTGGATATTGACTCAAGAAAATCAACCTCGAGCTATGAGTTTTTCACTAAACTCAGATAGCATTAGAGGTGGATCTTGCAGACCCAGTTACTAAGAGTTTGCCTGAACTTGTGTTCGAGAGGCATGTTACTTCTTTGGGTTTAGGAGGATCCCAGACTTGCATTAAGCAAGTGGGAGTTATTGGTTTCATTGTGCTCTTGGAGTAAGACAATGAAACAATAAAATAATTTTCTGAATTTCATAAATAAGGTTTTATTTATTTATTTTGCGCACTATTTACAAACATAAAGGTCCGGATCAAATTGTGGAGTATATGATCATATGGATACGTTCATAGAGGACATGATCATAGGTTCTCACAATTGATGAATGGATTCACAGCTGTTAAATAAAGTTGGGCACTTTATTTAGGCTGCAATATTTTATGAAATGGTTTTGTCTGAATCATTGTAAAATATTGGTGTGAATTAACATTCACATTGAAAGGATCAAGGAGAGATTTGATTAAGGTTGTTCTTTCTGTCATAAGGAATCAAATTTCCAGTTAACTATAGCTATGTGATTGCTCTTAATCCTGAGTTTATTATAAATAGGTAATCAAATAGTTTTCATTCTTTGATTTACCAACGGGTGAGGTTCGATCTATTGACGGCCAATAACTCGGTATTTTGGGAGTGAGATTATTTGATTATCAGTATTTATGAGATAAACAACAAGGAATTTATAGGAAATGTCCCCTTGATATATTTCGGTACTTGGATATTAAAGACACTGGCCAGTGCATGTAATCCATTAGAGAAATTATCAAAGTCAAGGGAATAAATAATTGATTGGGTTACAGAAAACTAATCAATGAATTATAGACATTCTATAAAGGGGCAATGCATATTAATGTTATAAAGGTCATTAATCTTGGAGTTCACGTTCGGGCTTTTAGTGGAGTAGCACCGAATTAGATAATCTTGTAAAGATTATCAGGAGCCTTGATCAATGACAAATGGTAGGTCCCCAGGCTAGCTCGAGACAAGGGATGGGGTATATTATCAGATGATGATAGCTTATGGGCTACATGGTCTTGGGTTTACGAACTCAAGTTTGTATCTTAAAGAGCAAGTGGGAGATTGTTGGATATATGCTCTTTTGGTCACTAAAGTCCTATTGGGCTTCAGTGAAACTTGAGCCCATGAGGCTTAGGGTTAAGTTATGTCTAAGACCTAAGCGTATATATTCATAGTTTTCTCCTCTTGTGCCTCCAAGGTGATCAGATCATCAGAAACAAACCTAAGAGGCAGACGTTCATCATCTGAACGGTTGCCCACACAACCATCTCATCCTCCTCGAGAGATAGTCTGGAAGATCTACCACAGTCTAGCTTCAAGGAGGTTGTTCGTGCTGCGGCGCTAAGGTGAGCTGTTCGTGAAGAGGAATCCTACAAGGGAAGATTCTACACGACACCTGCGCACCGAGAGGTAATTGTGTAACAAGGATGATTCGGTAAGCATACCAATGTACTAGGTCCTAAACCGCTTCCGCATAAATCAAAGATTTCCTACAGAAGTAAAGTAGTTGAGATGAACGCGACCTGATTTGAATATAATCTAACTGCAATAAAAAAAGTATTAGATAAACTTAATATGAATTTATTTAAATAAACATATTAATGTTTTGAGTATAAATTATACTTAATGGTGGTGCATTTTATTTTTAATAAAAATATATGTTCGATAACAATCGAAAAAATTAAATCATATAATTATTGAAAATATTATTTGAAAATAATTTTTTTTATTTTCTAAAAATGATATTATCATATAAGAGTATTTAAAAAATATTGCCATGTCTTACTTTAAAAAATAAATCATATTTAATAAAAAATTATGAATAATTAAGACAGTAATAAATATAAATAAAATAAATTTGACTTTAAAATCACTTAAGAATAATTAAGAAAAAAATTTAAAATAATTATACGAAAATATAGACAAGCAAAAAGAAATTTCAAAATTATAGTCTCACACTCTCACTCTGAATTTACACCTTGCGATCATGTTTCAATCCTTTTATTTTTCCTTTTTTCTTTTGGTAAAAAGCATGTTTCAATCCTTACCACTGAGCTTATTAGCGTGTTGGATTTTGTATGAAAACATTAATTGTTACCCCTTTTTTTAGTTTCAAACGAAATATTTTAGGTACACCGTTGCACCACTCACTCATTGCGACATACCAATCAAAATAAATATATTCTGTAACGTGTGTATGGAAAAGAGTGGGAAAAAAATATTTTAGTGCAAGTGTCAATTTTTGAATGAAAGTATTAGGTACAACGAGTGTAGCAAAAATGCTATTCCTATAAAAGTGTATCGGTCTTATATTTTCTTTTTCTTTTTTTTCTTGACATGACACACATGGCCTACATATTTTTATGAGTATGTAGGAAATAAAATTATCTCCTGTAACATGAAAAATATTAATACCTGATATTTCTCATGTTGTAAAAGATAATTTTAGGTTTTAATGTTTCTACGTGAATGTAGAAAGTTATCTGTATTTCACTCTCAAAATGATGTCGTTGGGCTATGATGCACCAACACTTTAAAATACTTGATGTATCGTATTTGACACTCCAACATTTCGCCACACTCGAATAAGTGTTGCAGAGACTCAAAAAAGGGTTTGAATATTGCGTTGCGTTTTTAATTCCAACTATTAGATTCGTTGTTTAATATAGATATTTAAGATATCTTATGTTCCTTTGCAGAATTCATGGGCATTATAAGTTTAGTTTCTTTTTTTTCTAAATTACTGAATATTAAATATAATATACACTATATAAATTAAAAATATTATTCAATATTAAAATGTGTCCTAACATATGGAAATCTATCACTTTTTAGAATTCACGTATCGAAGTATCGTGTCGTGTTGTATCTCGTGTCACGTGTCGGTGCAACATAGATTTTGGGTTAAAGATTAAAAAAATATAATAAGAAAGATTATAACCTTGAAATAAATTTAATTACAAAAATACCTTAATTTTCACCCCAAAACAATGTCATTTTGGGCTCAACGTAGATAATCTATATTGACTGCGGAAAAATGAACCCATAATTTTATGAAAATAGATCCTCTCATGCTAAATATATATATATATATATATATATATATATATATATATATGACATGGTCATGTGAGAAATCACAACCATACAAAAGTAAACAAATTTTTCCAACTTTGTGTCTCCATGTGCAGACACTTGCACTAAGATGCGTCTGTCATTGAACATAAGAAAACATGAACTCATATATATGTATATATATAAGTTCGATACACTTTTATATGTTTGTAAGAAATAATTTTATTTTCAATAATATGATAAACATTAATCTCATTATTTAAATATAAAATAAATTAATCCAGCTTATGCAATTATTCATTCTTTTATGTGATCTAAGATAAATTAAAAAAATGTTCATCTCAATCCGAGATGAGAAGTGAGGTGGCCGCAGACCCACAATCCACGTGTCCTCAAACTCGTGAAGATGAGGTTGCTTCAACGTGTGGTCATCACACTCTACTATGTTGCTTCTCACGTTTGTAGTTAACATGTTCCATAGGATCGGTGCTTCTTCCTCAGATATTTTCTCATCCAGAAAATTACAAAAACATGATTTTCAGTTTTCACCAAAAAAGATAACAATAAATAAAGGGACAAGCCACTGAAATTCAACAGCTTTTTTCAATTTGTTCCAACAACTCCATGAACTTTGCATCTTCAATTATATCACAGCCATGGCCACAATTGTGAAGCTCCACGTTTTCCCAGAGAGTTTGAGCGAACACAGAACGATGTTGCTCAGGAGGGGTTTTGGTTCCTCCACTTCTTCACCTGGGGTACTTGGTTTTGGCCATAATTGTGATGGGTTCTCTGTGAAACAGTGCAGGGCGTTTAGGAGTGAAGATGGTGGGGATTTGAAGGAGAAAAAGTTTAGAAATTTGAAGAAAAACGAGGTGAAAACCAAAAGGGAAAGTGGATTTTGGAGTTCCCTCAATTCTCTCATGTTGAGGAATTTCATGGTGGTTTCAAAGTCAGAAGATGAGTATCGCCAAGCTTTGGTGAAGGTGGAAGAGGTGCTATCCTCTGTAAGTTCTTGTTTCTGATACTTTATCATGCTTATAAAACCTTGTGTTGTAATAATGAATGTTGAATATAACTCTCTTTATCACTTGGCAAAAACAAGATTGCCATTCAAATTGGAAGATATATTGTGACTATGATGAGCACTGGGGTCATCCTTGCAATTGGATTTCAGATGTCAGGTTGGCACATATGAAAGAAATCTATTTACTCTTATTATATGCATTGGTTCCCCAAATGGGATGTTAAATTTTCTGTATAATTTTGTTAAGGTGGAGACAGTCAGATGGATGCACTGATATGGTATAGCTGGCTTGGAGGAGTTATTATTGGGACAATGATAGGTGCCAACATGGTGTTGGAGGAACATTGTCGTGCTGGTCCACGTAATGTTGTCATAACAGGAAGGTACCAGAACTATTGATTCCCATCACTTTTACTTTTTAATGAACCTTTGCAATTTAATACATATCTGGATTGTTACATACCTGTATCTATTACATTGTTGCAGGATATGTTATCATTACATGGATATATGGCTACCCCTACCCTCGCGGGACGAAGACCAAAATGCCACCTTATGGCATTTTAATTTTCAAAATGTCTAGGTTCAGAAATAAAATGCCAAAATGTCACGTTCTAGGATCCGTTATCAGTCCCAATGGATCCAGTTTTGCCACTTGTCGCCTAGACAAGGACCCGCCATCAGAAATAACGGTACCTTGTTTAGGCAACATGTGGCAAACCGGACATGGGATGGATAGCGGGTCCTGAAATGTGGCATTTTGTTTTCAAACCATGGCATTTCAACAATTAAAATGTCAAAATGTGGCATTTTGGTTCTTGTCCCTACCCTCGCTAGTCGGGGTTGGATGGGGAGAAATTTTTTTTTTTTACATGGATATATGGCTATGCAAATTGATTCACTTTGATGATATCTAAAAATATGTACTAATGTTTTCATGACATTGTTTGTTACATCTTGTTAATGATTTGTGCAGTACAAGGGGATTGGGTAAAGCCCTGGCTCGAGAATTTCTTCTTTCTGGAGATCGCGTAATTGTTACCTCTCGCAGGTGGTATTCTGAACTATTGAGAACATTTTGTAGAGGTCAGAATAGTATATTTTTTGGCCTTCATCTACATGTTACTCACAACATGTTGTTGCTCCCACCCTCACATTTTGTGAAGGCAGCCCTGAGTCTGTGCAAGCAACTGTCAAAGAGCTTGAGGAAAATCTAAGGGAAGGCATTGCCACTGCAGTTGGCTCATCTCTGACAAAGCTTTCTCATGCAAAAGTGGTTGGCATTGCTTGTGATGTTTGTGAGCCTAATGATGTGCAGAGATTGGCTAACTTTGCTGTCAATGAGCTTGGTTATGTTGACATTTGGGTAAGTGTTGTGGCTGCTCTTACTGTTGATCATCATTGTTGTTTCATGGATAAAAACCAGAGAAGAACGGAGGAGTGAAAAAGATAATTGTCTATTCTCTATTCTGAATATCTATACTAAAAGAATGACTATGAATGGGCACTCATGTCCCTTTGTGTGCACAATAAGCTTCTCCTATCTGAAAAAAGAGGACACATAATAATAAAACCTATATCTCAACACACACTGAGTTGAAGCTAATAGCTGAAAACTATCAGTTTTGGCAATTGCAAAACTTGACTATCAATCATAACTCATGTTATTTATGTTCATCTTGACACTACTTTCCAATGTTGTGAAGAAATAGAAATATATTCAGGCTCTAAAATAAAAGTTTTTTAGCTAATGTTGTATAGGTTTTACATTTTAGTATCAGCAGTTGAGAAGTAAATTATTGTATGCCTACATCCAATAATGTGATCAAAATAAGCCTTGAAGAAAGAGAACTGTGACGCTAATTGACTCTACTAACAATTTTGTTATATCTAAAGTGAAAGTTAAGTTTTTCATAGGATTCCATGCAGTTTCCATGTTTGTGGTCCTAATCTTTTGCAATTTTTATTCAAACCGTTTGACAGATAAACAATGCTGGAACAAATAAAGGTTTTAGACCACTGCTTCAATTTAGTGATGAAGATATTAAACAGGTATATGCTTATGAATAGTTTCTTGTTTATTTTGTTGAAATAAAATGTTAAGTTTGATAGTCATTCAGTCTGCCTGAGACTGAGATGTTATATAAGTGTTGTTCCTGAATTATCAATTTTTATAATTGTTGTAGATTGTCTCAACAAATTTGGTTGGATCTATCCTTTGCACTCGAGAAGCCATGCGTATTATGAGAAACCAGGACAAGGCAGGTCACATATTTAATATGGATGGTGCAGGATCTGGAGGCTCTAGCACACCCCTGACAGCTGTGTGAGTTATTCTCTTGAGAATGTAGTTTCTTCTCCTATGGGAGGATGCTGATAATTCCACTAAGCTTTTGCAAACTTTATTTACTCACAAAAATATATGTTCTTCATGCAACCAATATGTATATGTATTCTTCAAAAATCATGGTGGATGGTGGTTGCTAATGATGTTTACCATTCTTCCTTTTCATTAACATGTAGATATGGTTCTACAAAGTGCGGCCTTAGGCAACTTCAAGGATCACTATTGAAGGAATGCAAGCGATCCAAAGTAGGTGTCCATACAGCATCTCCAGGCATGGTTCTTACAGATCTGCTTTTAAGGTACATTTCTATTGCAAACCTGTTCTTTTTGGTTTTCTAAATTGGTTTTGTTATTTTGCATGGGTCACTTTCCTAAGCCTGCTAATGTAGGAAGTTCCAACTTCTTTTTCTGTTTTCAACAATATTTTCTGCTGGTCCTCATTGTTCTCATAATAAGTTTTTTATTCGAATATGACATTGCATTCTCTCTTACCCCAACAATTAAGAACTTCCTTGTGTTTGTTTCATATAACTGTCTTTGATCAAATGAGTATTGCTTCATAATTGTGCTAATTATGGCATTTCCACAGTGGCTCAACTGTCCAAAACAGGCAAATGTTTAACATCATCTGTGAGCTTCCTGAAACTGTTGCTAGAACATTAGTTCCACGGATGCGGGTTGTTAAGGGAACAGGCAAAGCCATAAGTTACTTGACACCTCCCAGAATCTTACTTGCTTTGGTCACTGCTTGGTTACGACGAGGTCGCTGGTTTGATGATAAGGTGATTATGGTGTTTTCAAGGATGAAATCAAAATATGTTATTATGTTATGTTAGTAGAAACTTCCATTCATGGTATACTTCAAATACTTCATTAAAGAACAAGGTCTAACAACAATTTCCAATATATTTTCATTACATGTCAATATAACTCTTATGCTTGAACTGCATGTTCTTTTTGGATAAATCCAATTTTACATAGCTATGGAGTTGTTGAATGGGAGAAACAAATTGAGCAAGAACTTACAGCCATGTATGTATTTCAGGGAAGAGCATTGTATGCAGCTGAAGCAGACAGACTTCGAAACTGGGCCGAAAATCGAGCCCGATTTTCTTTCACTGATGCAATGGAAATGTACACAGAGAACACCTGGTTATCAGTCTTCTCACTTTCAGTTGTTTGTGCCTTCATAATTCTTTCCAGCACCGGCAGCAATATGCCTGGAACTTGATGTCTTTCTGCCAATTAGAAAGTGCATCTAATCATCAACACAATAGAATGAATCTACACCATAAACAAGGTGGATCTGTTTTTTCCCACCATGTCCACCTCAAATCCTTAAAACAAATATCTTTTAACAATCTTAGTTGTCAGTAACCATGAGCTCAGACATGTGATTCCCAATGCTCTATATGTCACATGCGTCCTTTCTGTGCTCTATGTATAGGCTACCCTACAATGGAGCATTCTCCATTGAGATGCCTATGGTCATTGTATGTTCTATGTATAGCCTTTCATTAAATTTGTAGACTCTAGTGAAAAATCATATTTTATTTTCTGGTTCAGTATATTTATTTGAATATATGTTTATTTGGGAGCTTAACTCTGAAAATTTGTATTGGACATTGGTTAGCACTTTTGGATAATGCTATATACATGAACGTTTAAAAGATAAAAATTATAAATACATTTACTTTTTATGTTCGTGTTGTGTTGCACATGTACCCTGATATGGATATGATATGGGTATGGATAATTCCCATGATTGTTTCACTCATTAAATAATTTGAAGCAGGTGTTCTTATTCAGCAGTCACTTATAATATTATTAATTTGTTCTGCTTCTCAAATTTCAATGATTTGATATCTATATAATGAAACTGATTGGTTATTGTTGGAGAGTAATGGCAGTTTTATGATGCGCCCTCATTGAAGGTTGCACAGGTGGACTTTAAAGGTCACTTGTTATTGTGAAATTTGCATGTTATACGATGATGAGGTGATAGTGAAGCACCTGATAGCATTTTGAAATATATATATATATATATATATATATATATATATAGGCAAAATGATTTCTGCAGCTGCTGTACCTACAGCAAGCAAGGATCCACGTCCGAATCCTAGGATACGGCAACGGATCCTGAGTTTTTTTTTTTTTTTTAAAAAGCCGTGGGGTCCACTTTTCTGTGTCAGCTGTAGATAACACGGTTGCTGCAGAAATGTTAAGCCCATATATATATATATATATATATATATATATATATATATATATATATATATTGTAATTTGTAATTATCAATTGGTGTTCAAAATTATAATTGGCTTCAATAATCAAATTTCAGATTTGAGTCTTCTCAGCGATTGACTCTTGGGAATTAAACTAACGGAAAAATGTTTTTATACTGACCGCATATAAATTATTAAATTATTTGTATTTACTTTTAAAATAATGTCGTTTTGAAATTGAAAGATTAGAATTTTATAATAATAAAAATTATTATAATTTTAATAAATTAAAATTATACAAATACTTTAATTTTTATTCCAAAACAATATCGTTTTGTGTTCCATGCAATAATTTATCTATATTTATCGTGGAAAAATGAACCCTTAAACTAATTGCCTGTTTTTTCTTTTGTATTAAAACTAATTGCTTTTGGTTAAGTTAAATTTTGGTATCTAGTTGGGTGTCACTGGACCAATAACACCAGCATATAAATATGCATATCTAATTCTTGGGAATTCAAGAAGCTAAGAGGAATAAAAAGTATAAGAAATAAAAGGTATATGATTTTCAATATTCTATTGTTCCACCATCTTTTATTTGGTGGCCATTCGCATGTCCCTTCGTTGCATCTTTTCCATGGTTTCTTTTTCTACGGTTGGTTTTTCACGACCCTTTTTTTTTTTTTTATGGGTGTTTAGCTTACCATAAGGATCTACACTGAGAAGAATCAATTTTAGTGTTTAGCTCGAATCTTTTAGGGTGTGAATGATAATTTTTTCGGAATCATTTTTTTTTTAATTTCTATTTTTGGGAATAGAAATCGATAGAAAACTCATTTGGTAAAATTGGTTTATTTTTTTGTTTTCGGGATGAACTGGTTTAATTTTTGTGCTGGAGAACAGAAAAAAAGAATAAAAAATTTTCTATTTTTTTGTTCCCGGGCACAAAATGAGAAACACTTGTCTCTCTCAATCACTCTTTACCTCTACCATCATCACTACCACCACCACCATTATCCCGACACGACCATCGCCACCATTGTCGCCGCCATCGTTGTACCACCAGTGTCGTCGTCACCACCATGATGCCACTGTCACCATCACCACCAGCTCCATCCATCTCTACCACCACGACCACTACCATCTTTGTCACCACCACCACCATCATTGCAGTCACTGCCGCTATCGCCACCACCATCGCCACCACTATCACCACCATGAAGCCACCACCACCACCACTACTGTCACCAACCACCACTACCATCACCATAGCCACTGCTATCACCACCACCATGCCTTCACCCTACCTCCGCCACCAACCGCCACCATCAATATCGCATCAACTGTCGACACCACCATCACCACTGTCGCCGCCACCGCCACTACAACTACCATCACCACCACCGCCTCAACCACTTCCACCACCACAACCACAACCATCATTGCAGTCACTATCACACCACCACTACCGCCACCACTACCACCATCGTCGCAACCACTGTCGTTACCACCACCACCAATGCCACCACCATCACTATGCCACCATTACCTCCACTGTTGTTGTAGCCACTGTCGTCACCACCACCATCACTACCACCCCATTACCGTCAACAACACTACCACAACCATCATTGTCGTCGCAGCCACTGTCGTCACCACTACCACCATCGCCACCACTACCACCGTTGCGGCCACCACGACTATACAACCACCATCAACACCATTATCACCATCGCCGCCGCAGCCACTGCCGTCACCACCACCACGCCACCTCTGTCGCCGCCACCTCCACCATATAAAAAGGAAAGTGATAATCCAGAATTTTTGTTTCTTAGGAATTATTTTTTATTATATTATTTATTGTGTTATCAAACGCAATTCTCACTCTTGAAATAAAAATATAACATGTTATCAAACATATTTTTTTCTCGGAAACTGTTCCGAGGCACAGAAATAGAAAAGAATTATCTCTTTTCAGAAACAGTACCAAAGAACAGAATAATTGTTATGCACACCCTTATTTTAAGAATAGTCTCTTTCTTTCTCTCTCTTTAATCAAAATGACTAAAGATTAAAACTTGAAAGATTCAGATTTGATAATAAAAAGTTCCAAATATATATAACTCAAAAAAGAATTTTACGAAAATGGGATCGACTAGTTCAATAAATCCAATAATTTTTATAAATTTGTTTTTGGAATTTTGTGTAAGATGTTTGAAAAATTTCAATTTTAAAGCTTGGAAACTGCTGTTGGAATTAATGTACAATGATCCATTGGTTATGAATAAGAAGTGGGTTAATAAAGAAAAGAGAAAAGGGAAGATGAAGAGGTGTGCGGGTTTAACAAGTCCCACATTGGAAATTAGTAGGAAGTGAGAGAGTATATAAGCTCCCACCTCACTCTCCTAGTTTGACCCTTGGGTCACTACATATTTTATGTAGGGGAGGAACTAGGTGGGCTTTGGTCCACCACGCGCGCCGCCGCCGACCGGTTCGGTTCGGTTCATATGCGTGTAATAAAAATAATATTTTATTTAATTATTTTTTAATATTTTGTCCAAAAAAAGTATCTGTTGCTTCCCTCCAAACCAAACGTTTCTACCCGCCGATTTTTTGAGCAATGTTGAACCGAACCGGTTCTTCTCCTTCGCGAACCAGTCACCGGTTGTGTTTGCTCGCTGAACCAGTCACCGATTGTGTTTGCTCGCTGAACCAGTCACCGGTTGTGCCTGTTCGTCGGAACGGTCACCGGTCGCACCCGTTCGCCGCCGTCAGACATGGCGGTTCGCTGCCGGCGACTGTTCATCGTGACCGGTCAGTGTTTATAAATAGACACTGACACCTTCAGAAATTCATCCGATTTTTCTGCATTGAAACTCTGCCGGAATTTTTCTCCTTCCAGTTTTGCATGCAGTCTTTCATCCTTCGGTGTACTTTCCTCTGGCAATTGTTGTGTTCGTTTGGGCTGTTGATTGGTAGTGTCACCATTCTTCAGACGAAATCCGTTCTATCCTGGGAGACAAGTGTCCATCAACCTTTGGCATCTATGAGGGGGCAAATTGTCTTAAAGAGACACGTTCTGTTGGCTCGGATTTTAATTCCTCTTCTGACATATCATTCTGTCTGTTACATCATTCTGATTCTGTCTACTTCATACGTATCAAGTAAGTCTGTATTTTATATTTATAATTGCTCAGTGATAATTCTGATTATTTACCTCATCTGCTTAATACATGGGTTCAAATCTATTAGTGATATAATATCACCCACTGTCTTCAATAACAACTGCGACATCCAAAACAAACATCTTTCAAAATAGTAAAATACTAGAATATAGATCATGCTAAGTACACAAAATCATTAAAATATATTAAATTAAAGAACTCTCACCCCGCAAATGCAGTATAAATTTTGTTGTTATTCAAATGAAACTTGAGACAACAAAACATAGCCTAAAACCAAAAGAAAAATGACTTGATTAAATAGGCAACGCAGCCTAGAAATTTAAACAAAAGCAAAAATAAAAAAATTGATAGTATTGTCAGTCAACTTAAACATTTATTTACATTAAAACAGATTGAAGTATAATATATTTGCAAATCTTAGTGGAGATAGGAGAATAATTTACTAAATTATTTTTTTGGAAGAAAAGGTACCGTATAATTTTGTAAAGGACCAGCTAAGAAGCAACCCTATATCAACTTGTATTAACTTATATATATTGATTAGGCTAAAGTAATTTTGCAAATTAAGCAACATTTGATGAATCTATCATATAGATATTTTATACAATTTTTTTTTTAGTAATTTTACATTAAAATAATCGTAATTAGTTTGAGTATAAAATTCTGCTTACCTTGTGGGGCTAATCGAATGGGCATATGACTTGGCTAGAGTCATCTGAATGCCGCATTGAATGACTGAACAATGCAGTTTCATATTTGGATTGTTGATGCTTAATTCCTCTACTCACTATGCCCAGTTGCTTTCGCCATGTCATTTGGGATAATGGGTAAGTTTTGGTTCGATGTACCCAAAAAATAAAGTGTTGGTTGGACCCTCTAATGTGTTGGAATTGTTCTGTGCTTTCAAATCCTTCTTGGAGATTTTTATAGCTTAATGGGTCCCAATTTATCAATCGATTTTAATGAGCATAGTTACAGCCTAAAGCTCAACATGAGTGGGGGTGGGCAAGGAAGGATTAAAATTAGGGGTGTGCAAAAAACTGGTTCACTTGATCTGTCCTTGATCTGATCTTGACCTGACCCATAAATATCTTCTTCTTTTTTTTGAACTGGTTTAAATACTGATCCACTTTTATTTGAGACAGTTTTAGACCTGACTTGTTTTAATAATGACTCATTGACCCAAAACTTGACCCATACTCATTATGTGAAAAAAAGAAAAAAAATCACAATTACATTA